GGATGAACACAGCAGGCCAAGCAGCATCAGAGGAGCAGGAAAGCTGAAGAAGGGTCTAGGCCTGAAACGTCAGCTTTCCTGCTCCTCTGATGCTGCTTGGCCTGCTGTGTTCATCCAGCTCTACATCTTGTTATCTTAGTAATTGATTACTTCTTGAATACATTTGGTCGTATCAGAGAACAATTAAGTCAACCACATTGCTGTCAGAAGTTACATTCAGGACAGACCGTTAAGGATGGCAGACTTTCTTTGCGAAAGGAGATTGGCGAAACAGGAGAATGTAACACCTTGGCAGTTTCATGGTGACCATTACTGATACTTTAACCAATATTACTGTCCCTCTTGCTTTCTTTCCTTCCCTATTTTGCCAGATGAGTTTTTACAACAATCCAATTGTTCCTTGATCTAAATCATGAAGCCAGCCATATATTCCAGATTTACTTAATTACAGCAAACTTTTTATCAGCTGGCACCTATGGGACCAGGAGTGTGCCAGTTGATTGAATATTCTGACTGACCAAGCAAAACTTCGAGACATCGACATCCCTCAAAAATCTTTTAAAAATATCAACACATCTCCTAAAATCAATCTAAAACATACAATAAGTAAAAGAAACGTAATGCAAGGGGTATACACATCACAGGATAAATGCTCAGGCATTGTGGTAGATCGCGGTGTTTGAGATATATAAATTTGTGCCAGTTTATCAAGAGTGCCGGTTGATAAGGCACCAATTAAAGCAACGTTGCTCTAGCTGCTATTATATTTCCCAGCTGCTGTTGTCAAATTTGATATCAGGATCATCAATAGACCAGACTGTCATCCAGTATACTGCAGTTCTCATAATCCCAACATAACTGAATCAAACGGTCTGTTTTTGAGCTGCCAACCTAATGTAAACAAAGCAAATTTTTGTCAGTATTCAACTTCCGGGGCAGATTGGAGGTGAACATTCACTCCATTTCTAAATCCGGTGTAGTTTATGATATATTTGCCTTTTTTTGATCCTATGATAAAAAATGAATTCCTTACTATCAACATTTGTACATTTAAGGAAAAAGTAACCAGCTGTTATCAAGTTTCATATTCCTCAGGGTGTAGTATTCTGAATAAAAATTAACAAGTATCAAGGCAATCAATTACTTTGGTTCTTTTGGACCAAAAAATGTTAATAATTAAATTCCTTGGGTTGAGTTAACTCTGAGTAGCTAAAAAAAATATATTCAGGGCCTCAGACAAGGTTTCTTATGAAAAGGAACCATTCATTAAGAGCCTTCGTTTAATGACCGTAGGACCTTTGGCACTGCTGACCAATTTCTGCCCAGTAGCTATTTCTGGGGATCATATTTTTATGTTGTTTAAAGAGAATTCCAGTAGCATTCCCTGAGATTGGCCAAACTATTAAAATAAACTCGAGATATTAGTTTTTAATAAATGGTTTCCAAATTGTATTGAGTGCCAGTGAATTCCCCATACTGCAAAGGGAAAATAACACTGACCAAGCTATCTCCAGGTTTGGTTTCTGACCTAAGCTCACTTAGATGATCCTGACTAGTGTAAATGGGTGGGGATACCAATACTTTGCAGCCCTGAGTTACAAAAGGGGAAGCAAGTCAGACTCATTAGCACAAGGATAGAATGATTTGCATTTCTACAACATCTTTGACAACTACAGAATATCTCAAAGTGTTTTACAATCACTTAAGTGCTTTTTGAAGTGTAGTCACTTTTTTAAGTAGGAAACGTGCAATCATTTATGGACAGCAAACTCCAAATAATATTATAATAATTATCGGATAATCTGTTTCACCAGTGTTGATCAATGGACAAATATTGACCAGGCATTGGTGCAAATTGTTTTTCTCAAATGCTGTCATTGAATCTTTTCCATCTGCCTGAGAGGAAAAATGGAACCTTGGTATAATAAGTCATCTTAAACATGCCATGAGAGTGCATCACTCCTTCAATGTTGGCAACTAGGCCTTCACCTCCTTCGGTAAGGTTGCCATTACTGGTCAGTGCATTGAGTGTAGGAGTTGGGAGGTCATGTTGCAGCTGTACAGGACATTGGTCAGGCCACTTTTGGAATACTGCATGTAATTCTGATCTCCCTGCTATAGGAAGAATGTTGTGAAACTTGAAAAAGTTCAGAAAAGATTTGCAGGGTTGTTTCCAGGTTTGGAGGGTTTGAGCTAAAGGGAGAGGCTGAACAGGCTGTCCACGGGTATAGTGCTGGAAGATTAGAGGGTGGCAAACGTCATTCCCTTGTTCAAAGAAGGGAATAGGGATAACCCCGGAAATTACAGGCCAGTGAGTCTTACTTCAATGGTGGGCAATTTATTGGAAAGGGCTCTGAGAGATAGGATTTATGATCACTTGGATAGGCATAGTTTGATTCGTGATAGTCAGCATGGATTTGTGAGGGGTAGATCATGCCTCACAAACCTTATTGAATTCTTTGAAGAGGTGACCAAACACGTGGATGAAGGTAGAGGATTTAAGTAAGGTGTTTGATAAGGTTCCTGACGGTAGGCTCATGCAGAAAGTAAGGAGGTATGGGATAGGGGGAAATGTGGCAGATTGGATTCAGAATTGGCTGACCCTTAGAAGACAAAGGGTGGTAGTGGACGGAAAATATTCAACATGGTGCTCAGTTACAAGTGGTGTACCGCAAGGATCTGTTCTGGGTCTTCTTCTATTTGTGATTTTTGTAAATGATTTGGATGTAGGAGTGGAAGGATGAATTAGTAAG